CTTGGATTGTTCCCTCAAGTAGTATGTAATGACCTTCTTTGCCTCTTCTAATCAGTTTTAGCTTGAAGTTCATCATGTCTGACATTACAGTTGTTCCCCCTGCTTGTTTTCAGGGTCCTAGTGCATGAAACATTGTTTTTCATCCTTTAATTTTTTTAGTCTAGGAATATATTTTTGCATTATATAAGTCTCTTGACTGCAACAAACTGCTGGATTCTGGTTTTTGATCCAGTCTGCCAATCTGTGTAATTTAATTGGACAGTTAAGGCCATAAACTTTGAGAAATATTGCTGAGATGTGCTGACTATTTACTACCATTGCATTCTTTGTTGGTGATTTCTTTGCTTTTCTTCTGCTGTCATTTTTTTGTTGCTGTTTATCCACTGACTTTACTTGGTGTTTTTGTTTTACCTGGATTTTAAGCTGTATCAGTTTTGTTGTTTCTGTCTAGGATATTCCTGAATATTTTATGGAGTGCTGGTTTAACTGACCATTTTCATGACATGTCCTTATTTCTCTATCATTTTAAAGGATAGCTTTGCTGGATAATTAAATCTTGGCTAGAAATTATTTGCTCCGAGGGCTTGAAATACATTACTTCAAGCTCTTCTGGCCTTTAAGGTTTGTGTTGAGAAGTCTGCTATAATTTTTTTTCTCTGCTTTTAAAATTCTGGGTGCTTTGGTTGGATATTTGGGAATTTAGTAGGAATAAGCCTTAATGAGCTTACTTTTTCATCATACTTTTGTGTTCTGTAAGAATCGTTTTCTCATATTTTAAACTCTTTCCTTATATTAGGGCAATTTTTCTTCTATGGTTTCTGTAAATACATTGGTAAATCTACTTGTGTTATCTTCTAACTTTTCTCTAACACCATTAGCCTTAGTTGGTTTTCTTAGTGCTGTCTAATTCTCTGTGGTAGGGTAACACTTCAGTCCTAAAGCGAACCTCTCCATCTGGGTGTTGGTTTCTTCAATCAAGTGAGTCTGTTGACTATCACCTATGTTATCGTGTGCTGAGGAGACACCATGAGCAGCCCCTGGCTTGCAGTCCTCCAAATGGTTTCAGGGTCTGGTCTTAGCTGGGAAGGTCCAGTGACAGCCCCCAGCATTTATCTGGAGGCAGGCACAGTCTTCCAGTGTGTCCAGGGTCCACTCCTAGGAAGGGTCTAATCCTTAGTTCTTTATCTTCACTTGCCTAAAGATAAAAAGAACTTTTTTCCTTCCCTCAACAACTTTTACTTGAATTCAGTGTACCATTTCATTTTGTTTTATTTCGCTGAGATAGCATGTCACTAGGTAGTTCAGGCTAGCCTTGAATTCTTGGCGATCCTCTTTCCTCAGCCATCACAGTGCTGAGCTTACAGGCATGTGCCACCACACTCAGCTACATCTAATTTTTCTTGATGACTGGAGTACACATACCCAAAAATCTGCATTGCATTAAATCAACCATTTTTATAATAAGTCCTTTCCTCAATATTCCATTACTTTCATTTCTGTTTTTATTACAAATAGAATGGAGTCTTGTTTATTTCCTAGAGTCCTGGAAATTTTAAGTCCAAATGGATGGATCTCTTTTATAGAAAGGATTTTGTCATTTTACACTTTTAGTGTATTATAGCCAAAAATTACATTTATTAATAGACAATAATTAACCAAATATTGTGTTTCAATTCTATACTTTCAATTGGTTTTCTATCAACTTTATAGTAGCAAGAGATGAATATATTTTTACTGAGAAAATAGTTTAAAATTGCTAGTTGTTCTAAAATTCTGGTTATGATAAACTCCTACCAATTGTAAACAATTATAGGAATTTTTAACTCCAGACCTGAAGAAAAGATGTTGAGAATAACAGGCATTTCTGTGACCTGGAAACTGTCACAACAGTGTTACCACTTGAATCGGAAATCACCAAAATTTCCTTCTGATTCCCTTATGTTCCAAACACAACATAAATTTTTTTCATATGTTATGTTTTTTGGTTGTTGTTGTTGTTGTTGTTGTTGTTTTTGTCTTTTTGAGACAGGTCTCGCTATGCAGTCCAGCCTGGCCTTGAGCTCACTTTGTAGCCCAGGCTGGTCTCGAAATCACAATGATCCACCTGCCTCAGCCTCCTGAGTGCTGGGATTACAGGTGTGTTTCATCACACCTGGCCATGTTATGATTTTTGGAAAGGAGAATAGCTATTATAAGTTGAATTATACTAGGTCCTTTAGTAGTCTTTGATTGGATTTAGGATAGTACTCTGTATCCTATTTTGTAAAACAAATCCCATGAATTAAAAAAAAAATGAAAACATGTAATCTTAATAATCTCTTTGAAATTAATCGATAGCTGACCTGCGTTATAAGAAGTACTAATGAGGATACTTTAGGTTGAAATAAAGATTCAAGATAGTGAAAATCCACATGAAGAGATCTCTATATCTATCTATATCTATATAGATATATAAATAAATAATATAATATTCAGTATAAATGTACTATGTGTTTATAACCTCTTTTACTTCTCATCTTATTTCAAAGATGAGCACATAAAGCAATAATTATAAAACTGTGTAGGCAGACTTGTAACATGTAAAGATATAGTTTATAACAATGAGTATAAAGAAGGTACGAGAGAACATACACAGAAAAATGTTTTATATGTCATTAAAATATATTAGTGCTAATTTGAACTAGATTGCTTTATTTTAAGAATCTAATTGGAATCTCCATGACTACCACAAGAAAACAAAACCAGAGCTGGACATGGTGGCACATGCCTATCATCCAGGCACTGGGGAGGCTGAGGCAGGAGGATCATCATGAGTTTAAGGCCAGCCTGGGCTACATAGTGAGTTCAAAGCCAGCATTAACTACATAGTGAGACCTTGTCTCAAAAAACTGAAAAAAAGTTTTAAAGATATAATAAAAGGAACAACAAAGGGGCTGGAAATGATAGTGATACCTATAATCCCCAGGACTCTAGGAGGGCTAAGGAACAAGGATGGCAAGTTTGAGACCACTCTGGACAACTTAGTGATATCTTGTCTCAAAAACAAAAACTTAAAAAGGTGTTGGGGACATAGGTCAATGCAAAGGCTCTGAGTTAAAATAAACAAATAGAAAGAAAGAAACAATGTAAAAGTTATACTAGAAAATAGTAAGCCACTGGCATATGCTGCAGGGGTAGCTCAGTGGGCAGAGCACTTTCCTAGCATGTACAAGGGCCAGAGTTCAGTCCCTAGCACTGCAAAAAACAAAAAACTAACCAACAAAGTTTTCTGAGCCTAGGAGTTCAAAGCCAACCTAAACCGCACAGTGATAATGCATCTCAAAAAATTAATTAAAAAGAAACCATTTGGAAAAAACACAGAATGAAATGAATTACATTTACATTATTAATGGAATATCACCAGACTAAATGTCCTTGTACATCTCCTATTAAATTCCCACACTGCTTTCAATCAAAGTCTACCTTTTAGTTCTGCCTTTATGAGGTTCAGTGAAAGTGCCGTTCCTATTCTTTGAGTTCTATATTAGTTGTCTTTTGTTGCTGTAACAAATTACAAAACATTTTGTGGCTTAAAACAACATAAACTTATTAGTTTACAGTTCTGCATGATAGAAGTCCAACATGAGTCTCACTGGCATAAAATCAGGGCATTGGCACAGTTGTGCTCCTTCTTGGAGGCTCTATGGAAGATCTGTTCCCTGTTTGTAGCTTCTAGGAGCTGCCTACATTCCTTATTTTGTGGCTCTCTTCCTTCATCCTCAAAGACAGGAGCATTACACTTCTCTAATACTGTTTCCATCATCATTATCTTTTCTCATATTCTCTCTTCTTGTCTCCTGCTTAAGACATTTTTGCACCGTGCTGGGGCTTGAATGCCGGATCTCATATATTCTAGGAAAGCATTCTACCACTGAGCTGTATCACCAGTGCTCTCTCTTCCACTTTTAAGGACCCTTGTCATTACACTGGATCCAGAAATATCTCGCCCAACTTAAAGACAGTTGATTAGCAGGTTAATTCCATCTGCAATCTTAATTCTCCTTTGCAATATAACATAGTATAGTCAAAGCTTCGAGGGATTTGAGACGACATCTTGTGGGGGGCACTGTTTAACCTACCACAAATTCTGTTGAGATTTCACATATGTCCTTACACCAACACCTACCCCTTTGGTTTATTGAGACAGGATTTTACTATGTAGCTCAGGCTGGCTTCAAACTCTCAATCCTTATCTGTCAGCTGCCCAAATGCTGGGTTATTCATGAAGAATAAATAAAATATTCTCATGAATAATAAATCATATTTTCATGAATAATAAAGAAAAATCTCTCACCTCAGATAGAGCATGCAAACATTTTAAAGGCTTATTTTTTTAAATCAATAATTCTTCTACAAACTCAAAATACTAGATGAGAAGTTCTGGATGACTGGTAATATTTCAAACACTATTCTAGGGAATCATATTGGACTTCTAGGTATTTGTTTTTCAGGTGAAAACATAACACTCAGCACTTCTCCAATATCTATCAATTCTCCTCATCATTGTTTCGTAAGAAAACTTTTTTTTTTTTGAGGCAGGTTCTCGCTACACAGTGCAGGCTAGCCTGGACTCACTACTTAGCCCAGGATAGCCTCGAACTTGTGATGACCCTCCTGCCTCAGCCTCCCGAGTGCTGTGATTACAGGTGTGTGCCACCACACCTAGCATAAGAGACCATTTAACACCATAAAAAGAATTTTAAAATGTGTATTACTTTAAATCATTGTAGCCTAATAAAAACCAAATTATATTATTATTTTCATAATTTTGCTGATCTTTAACTAGGTTTTTTAAAAAATGTAACAATAGCAAAGTTTCATTAAAGGTAGGAAAAGAAACAGGCTCTGCAGAGCAAGTTTGGGCCAAGTAAAAGTAAGAAAAGAAGTACACTCACAGAGTGAGGGTGGGCCAACTATGTAATAACTAGGGTTTTTAAAAATTACCTTTATGAATTATTTACCTGTTGCAACTGTGCCACTGTCTGCATGTGTCAATGACTGGGGGCGGCTACGAAGTTTACTTTTGAAAGATCTTGGTCGACGTGGAGATGCAGGTGGCAAAGGAATCTCTGAAGATTCGGCTTTGGTATCTTTAATTGACCGAAGGCGTTCATAGAGCTCCTGCAGCTCTTTATTCTGCTGGGTTTGAAGATTTACCACCTCCTGAATGTGCCTGAATGAAAATTGTGTGGAAAACATTTTAATGGCTCTGACATTATAAAAATAAGCCAAGTAAAGTTTAATGAGGAATTTATATTAAGGATGACATAGAGAGTATTTTCACATTTTTGGGATGGGAAAAGAAATGCCTTCCTAAATATACATTAAACTAATCAGTCAACAAGAAAAAGATCAGCACATTGTCAGTAACAAATCTCTAAAGTGTTGATATAGCAGGAAACAATATTGGGATTGTGACATGAAGAAAGGGAGATTTTTTGTCTCATTTTTTAAAATTTTATTTTTAAATATTTTCCCATATGTCACTTTTAAAACACACACACACACACACACACACACACACACACACACACTCAACAATAGTTCATTCCAAATAATTTAGGTCTAAAAACTCAGGTCACCATTGCGGGCCTATAGGATTCTAACCCCAAGAATCATTATCCTGGGGTCTAATTTTTTTAGAAGAAGCCATAATACCAAATGAAGATTGAAGACAGGATAGAGTAAATTATCTTGTTTTTTAATGCTGAGAATTGAACCTAGGACCACATGCAGGCCAGTTAACCACTCTACCACTGAGCTACACCCTCATTTCTAGAATAAATTAACTATCAAGTCTTGGGTTCTATGAGGTAATCCATGTTTCATATTCAAAATAAAGTACTTATGACCATTATAGTCAGGTACAAAACCAACAGCCTTTGAGAACAGTTTAAAATACTCATTAAAAACAGCAATAGAAGACTGACGATATAGTTCAGAGGGATAGCACTTATGTAGCACGTGTGAGGCCCTGGGTTCCATCCCAAGGCACCAAAAAGAAAAAAAAAGTAAAAAAAGCACTGGAATACTGATATAACAAATATTAAACAACTTTTTTTTTTGTCTCTTTTGAGACAGGGTCTCACTATGCAGCTCAGGCTGGCCCTGAACTCACTTTGTAGCCCAGGCTGGTCTTGAACTCACAACGATCCTCCTGCCTCGGCCTCCCGAGTGCTGGGATTACAGGCGTGCACCACCACGCCCGGCTCTAAACAACTTTAATAACTATTTTTACTATAAAAGTTTCAATGTATATACTGCTTAGTATGAATAAGCACATAGTAAGGTATATAATGTATAGTACACATAGTACATAATATAAAGTCAAACCTGTATACACATATAAGGGGTAACTGAAATATACAGTGAATGTTTAAATTTTTTAAAAATTACTACAGTAAAAGACATTGTCAAGAATGATGGGTAAGTGTGTTTGAAGCAAGGGGGAGTATTTTGAGGATTTGGATAAAGATTAATGGCAATGTGTCTTTTATTAAAATTTTATTTTATTTTATTTTTTGTCTTTTTGAGACAGGGTCTCGCTATGCAGTTCAGGCTGACCTTGAGCTCACTTTGTAGCCCAGGCTGGCCTCAAACTCACAACGATCCTCCTGCCTCAGCCTCCCGAGTACTGGGATTACAGGCGTGTGCCACCATGCCCAGCTAAAATAAAATTTTAAACTTAAAAATTCAATATATTTTTTAAATCACATCATGTATATTTAAAGTAGAACATCAACCTTCCACTAATGAAATGTTTAAAGCATACATTCACAAGTTTCTCCCAGGCTCCAATTAAAACATACAAACCTTGGAGAAATAAATTGAAGAGAAAATGGTATGATTGTCTCTCACTGGAATATAAATTTGGGGTTTGGATTTTTTTCTCCTCTAGAAAAGGCCTTAAAAACTGGGAAATTTCCAAGGATTTTAACCTGCTTCAGTTCTAGAAGTATTAAAACGGAACATCTAAATGGAACTTTATCTAAACATGTAAGAATATCTGGCTAAAATCTAGCCCTTTCCATATAATTGCTAGAGTTCTTTTCAACTTTTCAAAGTAAGGCATAGGGTCATCAATAGGACGCCAGTCATTAATGTATGAGTATATATGTATAATGGTAAACTATGGAACTGTAAAAAATAGAAAATATGATACGAATCTAAGATATAGTAAAATCATACAAGCAAAAGCAAGATAACAGAACAGTCTGCAGTCTAAGTTACTATTTTGGAGAAAACAAACAATAAAATATATATTTATTTATTTGTACATGTATAATTAACTCTAGATATATTAGAAAACAGGTAGCATTTATACCTCTAAGGAGAAAGACTGGGTGGCTTTAGTGCACTGGCAGACTCAACTGATTACTCATTTGTTTTTATTTTTTATTTATTTATTTTTAATAAATGTGCCGGGAATTGAACTCAGGATTTTGCACTTGCCAGGCAGGTGCTTGTGCGGCTGAGCAATATCCTCAGCCCTCTGATTACCCATTTGTACAGTACTTTCTGAATTTTGAAATATATGAATGGACCTAGAATTCATCAATTCAACACTAATTTATTAAAAAATATGTGCTCATTTATAAAACTAAATACAAGACAGCATTCTATATAATAAAACATATTACAGTACTACAAAATCATTAGTGAAGGTTGATGACCTCATTCATCAAATAATAAGCTAGATTCTGGAACAATTTTCCCTTTTCCTAAAGAAAATGAACTACTATCTCTCACTATATAAATTAGCCATTTTAAAAATCAAATGTGTAATTATTTAATAAGAATAAAGTCCTAATCCAAAAGCCCTGAAGAATAATGACTGAAAAATTCAGCAAAAAGAATAATGAATTCATATTGGCAAATAACCAGTTATACTTAATCTTTACACTATAAAAATAGTTTATATAAAAGCACTTTAACATTTATAAATGTCTCACATTAGCATTTTTTAGGAGTTTTCAATCATGAAAACATTTTAAACATTAAAAAGTCCCCAATCCTAAATTGGCTACCAATCAAATATTAAGTTCTACAAAACCTAGGATAACCAGATTTATAACAGAAGAGAAAGAATTCTTACTTTTCTCTTAATCTTTGAAGCTCCACTTTCAAGTCTTCATCCTCTATTTCTGACTCATCATCACTGCTCATTGGTGAGGATGGAGAATAGAAGAGTGAACTCTGCGTTTGAGCATATGCTTGTTGTTCATGAAGTGGTAAGCTCTGATTACTCTCTGGACCAGTTTTTTCCACTGCATTTTCGTTACCAGTCAGGTTGGCTAAAAATTTACTGTTAGAACTAAGCTGTTTCCCATCAGTTAGTATCTCTTTTTCTTTAAGCAACACTTTGGATTCAGACTGCATACTACTTCCCATGACTGAAATTTCTTCCAGTTCTTTCTCTGGTGTCACTGAAGAGATAACAGTCTCACAAGCTGTGCTTAAAGGTAAGAAGCTGTCAATTTGTTTGGGAATTCCTTCATTTTCTTTAAAAGTTTTGTGAAGAGGTTGTAACTTCTGAAAAGAAATGGAAGTTTGAAGATTGTGCGTGGTAGTTTCCACTTCTACCAACTGAGACTTTGCAGCTGCAGTAATGGCTAGTGCTTCTTCACTAGACTGCTTTTCCTTGAATACTGGTCTGTGTTCTATTCCAGAAGATGTTGTTTTCACTGACTGTTGCTGAGGAACTGTGATCACCTGAGATATAAAAAGGTAAAAGTGGGTTGGGGATATAGCTCAGTGGCATAGTGCCTGCCTGGCAAGAGTAAGGTTCTGAGTTTGATTCCCAGTATCTGCCCAAAAAATAATAAGCTAAATTTCAAAAAAAAATTAAACATCAACATACAACATAGACACGTGGATGGCCTGCTAGGATGCACATGTATTGGTAGTATTAAAACTGAAAAAGACTACCTTCTTCCCAGTATTCTGTCCTGTATTTGGGCTCTTTGGATAAACAGTTGATTTTATATTTATCAAAAAAATTCCACAAAGTTGCCAAGATTATAAAGGACATGAAATTAAGTTTATAAAACAGATCTCCCACCCATCAAAGAATAATGACCATTTCTATACTATCTTCTAGCTACTAAAATCCCCATTTCTGTAGATTCATTCTCCTTTACAGATGGCTTCAAAAGGTGAGATGCATGCAAAGTGAACAATTTAAAAATAAAAAGATCTACATTTAAAGTAAGTACCATCTACAGACCAATCTTTAAATACTGTTACTTTTTTTTCTTCAGTGCTAGGGATCAAATCTAGGGCTTCATAAACAGAGCTAGGCAAGTGCTCTACCACTGAGCTATAGCCCCAGCCATGCTGTTACCTTTTATAAGGACTTTGTAAATAAGGATTCAACCAAAGACACAAACCTGGAACCGGCCCCGCTGAAATGATCCACTCATTGCTTTACATCTACTCAAAGCCCTGGTATCAGCTGTGGACTCCCGTGTCAGAGGAATGGGATCAGGAGCAATTGCTGATCTTGTATCTTCTGTTTCCACTGTAAGTTTTGTCAAATTATAAGCAGAAAAGAGAAAATTTCTTATTAAAACTAAGTTTGTGTACATTACCAAAAATGAAGAAAAGCAGAAAGTTTAACTCCTGCTAGACAATTAAAAAGTGTTAATGTAATAAGCAACATTGTATAAGTCCCTAACTCTAAATCAGACATTGTAAGATTTATCCCGACTTAGTATCTATATGAAATGAGTAACTGCAAAATCAAATTAGTTACAAAAGGAAAAAATAAAATGGCAATGACATTAATGGGAGTATGTCACATACATGGGCTATGTGGAAAAAGTGGCAAGATTTGTATATGAATAAAAAAAAATAAGTAAATGAAATATGATGTTACCTAGTCAATGTTCCTGACTGTAAGCACACTACCTTGACGGACTTTTGATCTCTTGAAAAAGCTGGTTGACTGCCGTAGCCTGTATGCCCAGCTTTTTAATTTGCGAGTCCAGGATTTCTTGCTAATAGGATTTTTGAGACTAGGACAAGTAAAGCTTAGGCCAAAATATCCACCTCCTGTCTGCAGATGAATGGCTCCACCACTTGACACAGCAGCAGGATGGGCCTCTGGATCCCCTTGAAGTGAAGCATCTGGAGACATCTCCTAAAGGAGACAAAAAGAAAGGAAAAAATGGAGTAGTAATAACTTAGGTAATGTGGAGAATTTTTCTTGGTACACTGGAGTGTCTTATGTGGACTAATTATTAATCAAAAGTAGGATATTATATATATCTGCATTATTCAATTTGTAGTGATTAAATCTTCCCATTTCTTTAAAAATATTATTTATACATCAGATGAATAAAAGAGGAGAATATTAATCTTCCATGCCAGAATATTTTTCATCATTATGCCAACTCTGAAAACTGAAAATTAAAATAAAAATTACTTCATATGTGCCATTTTACTAAAAAAGGTACTGAAATCTCATGCTATTAAAATGAAATGTTTATTTATTCTCATTTAAGAGTTAAAGATGCCTGCCACACACAACAGAAAATCTATCTAAGGCACTTAAAGTGACAGAGAAATGCCAGAATGAAGTTTCTTACTTTACGTAGGCACCGAGAAACTTACAAATGAACTAAAACTTATTTTAAAATCATTCTCTAGGGGCTGGGGATTTAGCTCAGTGGCAAAGCGCCTGCCTGGCAAGCGCAAGGTCGTGAGTTCGGTTCCCGGTACCGGAGAAAAACC